CGGCTGAGGAGGTCAAGTCTTTGGCATTTAGTTTGTTTTTTTAGAAATTTTATTTTTGTAGTCGTTCACATACAAGTGGCCAGCCCACAGGGACACCACTGACTGTATATGACGCCAAAATTACAGCTGCACTGGTGAAACATTTGTCAAGCAAAAACATAACATTACACTTTTAATACAGTCATTCAGTCTGAGGAATATTTTAATGACAAGTCCGGATCATCTCGGCTTAGATGCTCATAAAACCCCCACATGCGAGAAGCATAATCTGAAACGGGACCAAAGTTTTGTGAATGTCTGTCCCTTCCATAGTCTGACATTTCTTAGTGACACGCTACCTTGAGAAATATTGGTGACCCTGTCTGGATTACATGACAGGGGATTTCACAGATAAGAAGATGAAACTTGGGGAAAATAGGAGCTGAATGTGGCAAAAGTGTACATCAGTCACATAGTTGTCTGAGAGTGGCGAAGATAAGATGTGAAGTTCAAGGATGCGTGGTTCAAGGTAGATTTATTGTAGTTAGGCACTACAGAGACACTGACGGTGGGTGTCAGATCATCAGAGGCTATTCTGCTGAATTGAAGATCAGTTGATACTTCTATACCAGTGAACTGCTTTGTCCAAGACACTCTCTGGTGTTGGAAGAAGACAGACACAAATCTGCATGTAAAATGCTGCTCAGCCAGCATGGAGGAGGGCTGCACAGTTTGTAAGAACAATCTTTTTTGGATGAACAGGATAATTACTTGTTAGACAGCAGGTCCAGATATGACACGCTGCATTGTTGGGTCTGGGAAACTAATGTACATGGCTCAGGAAGGCCCATGTCTAGTCCAACACAGAGCTCACAACCCTCTCACCACATTCCAACCCCCCCCTGTCCCTCCCCATTTCAGTGCCACTAGGCCTGGGTCTGCTGCTGCCTCGCAGCTAATGAGAACCAGTCCCATCCAGCACCATATAAACCCACTAACACACACTTACCTCTGATCTCAGACCAGTAAATGTTGTCACTGTGGCCAGGTCCCACCACTTTATAGCTGCTAATATAGCCACATAGCCCTGTGTTATCATAACCTTTCATGTAAAAAAAAAAAAAAAAAAAAAAAAAAAAAAAAAAAAAAAAAAAAGAAAGAAAGAAATAAAAGAGAAAAGAGGAAAAGAAATTGGTAACGTAGGTGCATATGGAACTTTGTGGACTGTAAAATATATAGAACACAAGTGTATATAGTGATCTAATAATGGGAAAATGTCAACCAGATGTGGGATGGTGTAAATAAAAATTTCCAGATTGCATGTAGTATATGGAAGTGATGTGTGTATTTGATGACGATCCCTAGATCCCCACTGGATTGTGATGTTAATGGCTACTTGACCATACAAGCAGCCCCTTTGGGTTTTTATGGGAAAATTAAAATTTTTAATATAGCCACCGGGTTTGCCATTTTATGTATAACTTGTCAAACCCTAATACTAAAACCGGCACCAGATTAATCCAATGAAAAGTAAGTCAATTGAATATAAAAAAAAGCTTTGTTATTGTTCTAGCAGATTCTGATTTTAAATAAGGTGTAAGAATAATGGAAATTACTCGTATGAACCAAACTGCTGCTGAAAATTAGGTACACACTACTTTCCATATTGTTAAAAGTAATCCTTTCTTTCTTTCCTGCCAGCACAAAATATTCAGTGATTTTCAGGTTTCCTAGCTTTTTGCAACATTGGTCATATCATATCATGTAATTATATGCTGCTTTGATGTTAAATGAATGATTTGCTGTTATAACTTTAGTAAAACAAGGCTATACATATGAATAAAGGGACAAAAAAAACATACAAAATTGAATGTAAAATGTGGGTTTAGTATGGAAGGTGTAATATTAGACACATGTATAGTGAAACCGAATCGAATAATCAATTAATTGCTTTACCAATCGACAGAGAAGTATTCGGCAATTCATTGATAACTGATTAATCATTAAAATGTAATTTCTCATATGAAAATTCCAAACATTCTTCAGGTTCAGCCTCTTAATTCTGAGAGTCTTATATCAGCGTGAACCGAATACCTTTGTGTTATGAACTGTTGGTCAAACAAAACAAAACATTTGAACGTGTCCCCTTGAATTTGAGGAAACTGAGGGATATTTTTCACTACTTTCTCCTATTTTATTGCCCAAACTAACTGATTAATTGAGAAGATAATCAACAGCTTAGTAATAATGAAATGAGAGTAATGATAATGAAAATAATCGTGAATCGCAGCCCTATCACTATAAGGCCAGACCACCTTTCTTGAATCAAGTCTTAACAGTGGCCATCCATGTAATGACAGAGCCTGCACTCTGATAGCGCTGTTTCTTGTTAGTAGATGATGTTACTAATAATGTCAGTAGAATTGAGAGGCACAGTTTTATTGTGGCTGTCCTGTAGCTTTCTGCTAATTCACACTTGTCTTATATGTAAGGCACCACAATGGAGTGTTACATTCAGTAGACTATATCGTATATCTGTAAGGTCTGCCTCCTGTAGACTGCAGAATCTTTCTAGATGCGGTTTCATATTTATACCCTATTAAAAAGGCTATTAAAAATTAGATGGAAGTAGAAAGGTGGAACTAAGCGAGAGAGATGCTGATTTTGGCCCCTGTTATTGACTCCTGCTTCTTGTGTACTTCCTCTAGCCAACATCAAGGCGGCTTCATTCCCTCTCCTCGTTTCAGTTTTTTTTCTCCTTTATAATGGAACCTACTCTTAAATTACAGCCACTATCTTTTTGTGCTTCAGTTATATTATGCTTTATTTGCCTTTTAAGTGGGCACTTAGTATGGCTTTTTAACATTTCCCCCTGAGCAGTATGCACAGAATAGACTGATTTCATTTAGATCTCAACAACCCCCCTCTTGGACCCCTACCACTCGGCACTCTCACTTCCGTCCTCTCACCCACTATTTTCCTTTCTAATTTTTGCGTTTACTCTTTTTGCATCTCTTTTCCATCAATTTAAACCCTGTAGCTTTTTGTCCCTAAAATGACTGTGAGCCCTAGCTATTTTCACTGGTCCACAGTTTGCATGGTGGTGTGCCATAATCCTCCTCCGACCTCTTCCTTGTTTTCTCCCCAAGCCTTTTGTGAATACTGTCCCCATCTCAAATAGGCTCTGTCTACCTGGAAGCACTAAAATGCTGGAAGCAACCTGAATTGGTTTTAACTGCCTGCTCCAACCGCAACATCCCAGTTTAGATTAGGCCTTATTGGGACTGGAGGGCATGTGGAAGCGTAGTTGACAGGATTAAGTGGCTATTGAAGTGACTTTAGCTCCTTTTTAGAGAGCAAAAGACAAGAAGAGAGAATAATCAGCCCCCTCTTTTAATAGGAGGAATACCCCCCTCTTCTTTTCTTTTCCTGCCAATACAGTCCCTCGAAGGGCTTCTGATTCCCAGCAAGAGTTAGTGGTGGGAAATGCTTTTTCTCACTTTAATTACATATAACTGATCCTAAACATTTACTATTCATTAGGACCAATTGTTTCGGAAGCCAGATTGATGTAACAAATAATTAAGACATGTGCAATGATTGTGATTATTGGTATACACAGTTGAGTGGGTGTGTGCGTGCACTGTTTGCGGATGGGAGGGGGGTACACATGCAAACACTGCTGCCTGTTTTGTCATCTTGTGTGTGTGAAGCTTACACATGCACATTTGAGTGTGCACGTGGAGGTGGCAGATACGATGATGAGCAAATATTAGTCAGTGCGATATTTCATAGTGTGATAATCCAAGTAAATAACTTTTTTAGGTTGTTAAGGTGGAACAACTTAATGCACATTTTTGCCTTTCTTTTTGCTTCGGCACATAGTTGTTCAGTCAGTGCTGCTTGGAAATAGAAACGCTTGTAAATATAAAATACCTACTAAAAACAACTTGTTGAATGTTGTTTCCATTGTTGTAAGAAGGGTCATCTGAAGAGCAAACACAGGGCACTACAGAACATTGGAGGAAAGCATTTAAACTAAACACTTTTTAAATGAATAAAAAAATCAAGGTTTCAATATATTTAGTTATTAGTTACCCTCTTAATAAAATATTCTGGCATTCACTTCTTTTTTTAAGGACTGCATTTGTGTGATTAGCTTATTTACATTTTGAACTAAAATTCAGTAAAACAACTCTGACAATTATGAATCCTGAAGGCAGTGTTGAATAATTTATTATTACCATTTTAATCATGTTCAAAAAAAGTTACACTGCTGCATTTTGTGATTGACATTTCAAATCATAATTGCATCTTAAAATGTCTGCATCTTTTACACATGTTTATACATTTAGTAATTGTGTGACTAAAAGAGCAGAATTGTTCATAAAGTAGGTTCTTCATCTATAGTATTCATACTAAGAATAAAGGTACATAATTTCACCTTTTTAAAAAATAAATAAATAAATAAATAAATAATAATAAAAAAAAACTACAACTGTCTTTCCCAAACTTAAATTTTTCCATGACTCAGCTCCAGCCACCGCTGATACCCCTGCTCATTCACTTTCTGTCCTGCCTAGATATTCAGCAGTGTGGCTACATTAGCATATGAGTGGCTCAGTGTTTGGGTGAGTTTGTTCTCACCAAAGAGTGCCAAAGCACAGGTCAGCGTCTCTCATCCACTTCAATGAACAGCTGAAGGGCAAACAGAACTCCCAAAATGAAACGTTTCCAGACTTTCACTCTAATCTGGAGGATGTGGCCTCCTCTAGGATCTTCATGTGTAATAAAAACACTGTAGATATTATTAGAAATCTGCATGCAGCAGCAACCTTTAATTATTCGTTGCCCTTACAATTGATACTGAGTGTACTCATGTGTAATGAATGCACCAAAGACATGTGCATTCATGGTACCCCTGCCAGGGAGTGTTGTGTATCTTTTTGTGGTGTACACAAACACATGTTTATGTCTGTGTGCCACCCTGTGCTTATATATGTATATGTTTGTGTTGAAAGGGAGAGCCGTTGGCTCCTGCCCACGGCCTGGCAGTTGTATGCCGAAGCATGGCGTCCTCACCATCACTCTGCAGGCCCCTCGCTGCGCTACATACCCCGCAGGGCGGTTCTCTACTGCCCTGGCAATGATGAGCGAAAATTGAGGAAACTGGCCTCGTTGGATGTCGACTGTGCCGTCTTGGACTGCGAGGATGGTGTAGCCCTCAGCAAAAAGGTACATAAAGACAAAGATACATGTATAAATGAAATGGAGCTTTGTTTGAACAGGTCGGCAAGGAAGCACGCAAACACACGCCCAGCTGTATGATCCGGAATGATTTTAATTTCATCTCCCTCCTTCAGACAGGTGTTCGGTCTTAATCACTGAAAGGAAAACTACCTAAATGACATGTTTAAAACAAGCACATTTCACCCCATTATGATGGTATAAAGGCAGTGGTTCCCCCCTATCAGAGTCCTTTAAAACAAGGTGACCATGTCCCACTGGGTGAGCAGCGGGAAAGCACCAGATGCAGCAGGTTAAAAGCATTCTCCTCCCGCCCACTCGACCTCCCCATTGGCCCTCATGAACTGCCCATGAAATTGTGATTGGAGAGTGGGATAAAGAAAGGGCCTGGGTAAAAAGTTAACTAACAAAGGTTTTTAAGTCATGATAATAAAGATGATTGATTTGGCTGGAGGCTGTTCCTGTAGTAGACAAAGACAATAAGATGATGCCCTGTGTGACTGACAGGCTAAAACTGTGACCCCGCGATGGAGCTGGTGGATGTCGGAGCCTCTGTCTTTATTACATTTTTAGAGTGGGAAATGCGGAGAGGAATGCAGCACTGAAGCAGCCATTCAGGCTTGAGGAGAATTCAGACGCTGGACTCTTGAGCTCTCAGCATGTGACAGGTTCATGTCTCTGTCTCATTCCAACAAAAGTATCCTGCTTTAATCCACTTATTTCATTCACCAACCCGCTCATTTCACATAAAACGGAAGACATTATTTCCAACTTTGCTTGAATTTGCAAGAAACAACTGTGAATTTTGAAAATGATATAATTCAATTTTCTTTCCTTTTCAAAGGCCTTCTGTCTCTCTCTCTCTCTCTCTCTCTCTCTCTCTCTCTCTCTCTCTCTCTCTCTCTCTGTAAGCAATTAGCTGGCAAGTTGTTCCTGTAGAGCATAGTATTAGGCCCTGTATGTGCTATTAAGAATAAAGGGAAAAAATACCATTAGTTCCTTTAACATGCAGAATAATTTCCCTCAGCTGGCTTGCTACCCCTCCTTAAGCTAGTAGCATTCTTAGTAATCCTAATCAAAATATAGATTATAGGAAACAGTGCTTTCCTGCCTTATAATGCCATTACTTTCTTCCTCTCTGAACCAGCTACATCGGTACTACACATAGCATGGCACCAGAACTGATTTCAGCCATTCATTGCCACCATAGAGTCTGGCACAGTGTGCAAAAATCCTGTAACCTATTATGTGTTTGCTAGGTCATACTGTGTAATATAAAAATTAGTTATTTACTCAATAACAAAATGCACCTTTCCTACTGGCATCCTTTCTTCACTTCCCACACTCTCAGCTTCTTCCTCCACTGTGGCAATTGGAAATCCATGGGGGTTGTTGTGTAGTTATACCTTCCCTTAAGATGAATTTTTTTTTTACTGTTGGATAAACAGTATTTCCGGTGTGTGTTTCAATGTGTGCGTGTGCGTAGGTTGCTAGTAATACCACTAAGACATTTGTTTTGGATACTAATTGTTGTTTTGAAATCCATTTGGCACAATAATTGTTATATTATTAAATATTTTTTTCTTATTTATTACATACACAAGGGATATTTACTTGGGATTTGTGACCCCTCTTTAGGCACTAAACTGTCAAATTTCATTTGGTCATATTTACTTGAAGGTTGTATTGAGGAAATATTGTGTGTTTGTTATATAAATAATCGCTAAACCTGATTTATCACTGGTGGGTAAATAGATATCTGAAATTTAATATCTGGGTGAAAAAGGTGTAAAGGCTCATCTCGAGTGGTCACTCAAGTCTGGCACAAACTTCTTATTAATACAACTGTCAACAAAGGCTGCGTAAGGGCTTATGTTTCTTACTTTATGCACATTACCTCGATCCAAGGCATATTTTTAAGCTGCATCACATTTATTATGATATAAATTATATTTATCTTCAATTTTCTGAACGTAACTACAGAGATTGTCAATTGGGCTTAAAAATGTGAAAAGAAATGAATAGAAAAATTGTTCTGACGCAACACTTTGAGCTCCTGACTTTGGTTCAGACTTTTGTAACGTCCCTCAATGTTTTGTCAAATACATTACACCTAACCTGCCTTCTATTATGTCAGATTAAGATTTGTTCTAGGATCAGCTGAATTGTAAGTATGAATTGTGAATATCACCTTTATTATATTAAGCCAAATGAAATAATATTGAATAAGCCAAATGAAGACAGAGAAACGAGTATGTACAGGTAAATTATTCTAATCTGAAGGAGCACTAAACATAAAAGTTTTTTTTTTTTTTTTTTGGACTACCAATTTCCTTGGAGACAAAGGAGGCAGTAAAGAACGGCTGATCAGAGCATGATTAGTAAATAATTTATAAGGAACAAAGAAGAAAAACATTGTTTTAAACAATAAGCATAGTTAAAATGAATATATTTAGAAATATTCTAATTTTATACCAATGAAATTGTGATCCTATACAAAAAGGGAGCAGGCTGAGTGTGTCAAGCATTTTACATTGGTCTTTTAACAAACAAACATCCCAATACAAATCTGCAGAGCTTATTACACATGACATTAAAAGGAATAAGTTTGGATGTAGAAGTGTTTTGATAAACAATGTCAGCACAGTTCAGCAACAGTAACATAAATTGGAAAGCAAGTGTCTGATATAAAATGGAAAACAATTTCTGGAATAATACAGAACACTGACACCAAAATTAGCTTCCTTTTATAATGTGCTCATTATGTGGTTTAAAAGTCAGCTCAGAGTTGTATATGGATATGAAATGACCTGTATTGGGATACGAGATTTTGGTCATATTGCAGAGCCCTCCTATAGATCATAGTATCATCTGCATATAATTGAACTTGATAATCAGAGAAAAAAATCATGGCAGATTGTTAATAAAAACAGAAGTGGTCCTAAAGTAGAACCTTGAGGCACACATTTCTGCTCAGTTACCCATGTACAACAACATTTGCATTGCTTTTTATTATGAAGATAAAAATCAAACCACAGCAATAAATGTTGTAAGAGGCAAACAGCATAGTGCTTACCTAAAAGGAGATATTAATTCACATGGCCAAAAGCTTTAGTGTGATCAATGAATATAGTTCCTGTAAGATCACCACTGTGTCATCATCATTAGTCAATTTTAAGAGAGTGGTAGTTGTGGAAAACTTAGATTTTACTTTATAGTGTCTTGCACTGACAATTTCTACAGTGTATACAGTAGCTGTGATTATATTCACCATGACAACCGCACAGTCGGCACTGTGTGTTTGCCAAGAGATGCCAGACCTCAACAATGGAGTCTTAATGCATGTGTGGTGCTTTTCTAGGGAGAGAGAATGGGAGCAAAGCAGAGACTGAGCTTGCTAAATGCCATCCTCAACCACTGTTGTGGTGAAGGCAACAATAGGTTAGGTGAAACGCGAGGTTAGTTACTGGGTATGCATGGGTGGGCCTTAAATAGGGCCACTGCCCAAAACCACCCTCCTGTTATGTGTTCATTAATGTATTCTTTTCATTATCTTTCACCTTCACCTTAAAACAGGGAAGGATATTCATGACAAAAAGGTACGCGATGAAGGTCAATCCACCCCCTCCTCTTGAAAATTGAAATCCAGGAGTGCCTGCTTTAATTGCCTGCCGCTTTGACTCCAAAATGTCCATGCTCCATCTTGGCAGTAATGCTAGCTGCTTAAGAGACAGGGAGATGAGAAAGGGAGTAAAGGGTAGAAGCCTCCCAGAGCTTGCTAACTGTCACCATGGACCCAGAGGGGAGAGAATGAGGAGGAGAGAGGGGAGGGAAGGCAAGGCTGACTGCTCTAACACTCTTACACATATCATCATATCTGTATGATCAGTGGGGTGGAGGAAGAGGGAGGGCAGGTTGAAACCCCGGAGCGGAACTGACGGCTACACCTGTCCTCTCTCCTCCTCTCTCCCTTGCCGTCTTGTTCTTTCATTGTCCCTCTCTCGTACTCGTCTCCCCTCTCCAGGGTCCTCGGGGTTAAGATTGTTTATCTCTCTCTCTCGTGTTCTCTCACTGCCTCTTAGTGCCCTATGGTCCAATATTCCTCCTGGTGTTTCTGTCTCTCCCTCTCTTTTCCCCACATGGGTCCCTCCATCCTCCCTGACTCCCCCCTGCCTCCCTGCCGTAGAGATTCTCTCCTAATCCCTGGAAGTTTGGAACTAATGAACTAACTGCTGAGCCACTGCCACGGAGCTTGGTCCCAAACTATACTGTACTTCACACTCGATTTCCTCTCCAGATGGCATGGTGGCGCGGCCGACACGACGGGGAGCACCTCTTGCACACCAGCACGCGCCTGCAAATGCACACAAGCACACAAGACATGCAGAACACAAACTTGCGCACACACACGCTTAAGTGTGCACATGTAGACACATATAGACAAACATATACACACACTACTTACACACACACACACACACACACAGAAGCATGCAAGCACATACACAACTTGTTATGGTTGACAGCAAACTGTACATCACTCAAGTATGACAAACCAGTGTCCCGAGTTTTTACATTAAAGGAACCAGGGCAATTTTGGTAGAGCTTAAAATAAGTGAATTAATGATTTGTTCTTTTGAAAGTATAAAGTATCCTCTCTAAAATAACCTCTGTTGATACTGATCCACACCCTCAGTAGCTTTTATTGGGCCCATGTGGAAGCCAGACATCAGTCACTTCTGGATTTATTTATATGTACGTGGGTGTGATCACAGCTTCTGAACATACTTGATGTTTGCCATGTTTCAATGATGTAATTTGTGGAAAATTTCTTTGTTTGATGGTTCGTTTTAGCAAAATTACATATGTAATAGAATTTATTTGTAGATAATTGCTCATAAACAGTGGTACCTGCAACGATAAGTATACTGCGTGTCACAGAAGCTACTGAATGTATTAAATTACTAATTACAAAAGTACCAGTAATT